AATCTGCCTCTCTCATTTAGAGTGTCATGACCTCATTGTACCGTTTTCCAGCTTCATGGCTGTCTGTGTCTATTACCGCCGGGGGCTCTGTATCTGCCTCTCACCACTCTGCCCACCCCTTTCCTTTGAGGAACCGTTCCTCCCAGCCCAATGATTCAAATGGGGTTGCCAACAGTGGATTCTGCTACGACAGTCCCTGGGGAGCCTGTACTGCAGGACCTGGCTGGTCCCACCGCTCTTCCCCACCCAAGGATCAGCCCAGGTGGGTGTGAAGCCCAGCCCGGGCAGTCAGAGTCCTTTCCTGGAATCAGGAGGAGCTACAGGAGAAGGGAGAAGTCTTATTTTTTTGTGTGTGTTTGAAAAAACTTCCATGGAAACTGGAAGATAAAATTCTGAAGATCTTAAAGGCTATTTTCCTTTTAAAAGAGAGAAAAGTGACCTGAGTATAAAAGAATTGCTTTAGGCTGAGAGCAAACGATAAAAGCAGTACAAAGCAACCAGGAATCCCAAAGACGTCGCCTCAGTTCCTGGATTCAGCTGGGCCTGCGTCTGTCCCGACCAAGGACGCACTGGTCATGTGAAGACAGACCGTTTAATTTGGTTTACTCTACATGAAATCAGTTTCTTTAATTTCCAACTGCAAAAGTCCTAACTCGAACAATCGCCTTTCTCCTGAATAATAATGATAATGATAGCTTTAAGTGTAAGAAAACTGCAGTGGCAGCTAATACGGAGGAGGTTCTCTCTGGGTACCAGGCAGTGTGCTTCACGACTTATAGGTGAGCTTTCACTTATTCTTCATGACAAACTTTACAGCTGAGAAAAATGAAGTCAGAGACCTTGCCCAAGGCCGCAGCACACATAAGCCGTGGTTCCAGAACCTTCTGCTTTCTGACCTTGTTTTCAATTGCTGTTTTATGTGTCTCCTTAAAGGCTGTGTTTACCCTTCTCATTCACTGATTTATGCCAGCACCACCCGCCCCCCGACTCCCCCAGCCCCACCATCGCCCAGAAGGTGATAAATAAATGCTGATCGAATGGCTGTATTTGAACCTGCTGGTGACAGGGTTGGTAGATGTGTCCTGCCCGTAAGATATTAATAACCATCACTAGGAATCCTTTTCTTTGTGTCGGGGGCTGTACTCATACCTTATTTCGTGCTCCTGGAAGGAGACAGCACTGCCTCCATTTGGGGTGGTCACGGACATCCGAGGCCCCGGAGGTCCAGAGTTACGTGGCCAGCTGCTAGCAGAGCGCTGGGCCCTCCTGCACTGCCAAAGCAGCTGGTTTTCTTGTCACGGCATCAGAGGGGAGGAGAGACGTGAGCAGGGCTGTGAGCACTCTGCACACACCAAGCACTTTATGTGCTGTCTGTTTGTCAGAATGATCCTGAGAGTGAGTTTTCTGCTGCTGACTTTATAGATGAGGACTCAGAGGCTGAGAGAGGCTGGACACCGGGCCCATGTTCCTTGCTAGTGGCCGGGGAGCCGGGATTTGCAGCAGAGGCGGTGAGAAGGCTGTTGTGGGGGTGGGTGACTGTCATCCTGCTGCCCTTGGGAACATGAACGTTGAGGAGCTGCGAACTGTGCTCCAGTGGTGCGTGAAGAGGTAGGCTGCTGGCCAACACCTGCGAGGCCTGATGGGCAGTCTTGACCCAGGGGGTTTTGCCAAGGCCTGGGGTTTGGCCTCACACTGCAGGGAGAGCCCAGTTTCAGTGAGAGCGAAGCCCCTCTCTCAAGGGTTCTGCACTTGGAGGAACCACACCGATGAGGACTGTGGCTTCAGAACAGACTCAGCTCTGAGCGTTTCTCATCATCCTGGCGTCTCTCACCATCCAATCTAAACACCATGGTTTCCTACCTGGATGCCAGCCCTCCCGGTCTCCTTCCTCACTGCCCCTGCCTTTAAAGAAAACGAGATCACGTGAGCTCACACGGTGGCCGGACGCATATTCTTTGGGGTCTCTAGCACTTTTACCCACTGGGAAAAATTATCTTCACATTCCCATCTGGCTGTGAGCTCTTGGAGGGCCGCGCTGAGTCTTTTACGTTTCAAATCCCCAGTTTCTAGAACAGTTGGCAATTATAGTAGGCTCGCAGTAGCTGTGTGTGGATTCTGATCAGACAGTGGAGAGCTAAGTGAGAGTGACCGGCAACGGTGCCGCTCAGAGAGGCCATCATTGCGTGGTCTCCTTCCACTCAAGTGAAGAAATCCTTGGCAGTGTTTCTAGGACTCTGGTTTATCCTTTCAATAATTATTCTTTGGGTTACTTTGAGATTTTTTAATTAAAAAAGATGCCTTATGTAAGAGTTCACACTCCTATTTTTGGGGGGTAGGAATATTCACATTTTTATCCTGGTGCTACTTCTGGTATACCTGGTGTGGACATGCCAACTTACCATTGGATCCAGCGGCTCTAACTTATTAGTGGGTCGATTTCTTTGTAAGATTATTGACACCAGAGGTACAGATAATATAGTAATATTTATTAAGCCACTATTTATGTTTATCAAATACTCATTCTGGACAAGGCACTCTGCTGCATGTTGGATGAGCAGGGACTAGCAATTAGACAGGACTCCATATGCTATGGAAGATGCAGACCCCAGAGACATTCTCTGGGACCTGATGAGTGGACTCCTGGGGTGGGCGCCACACCAGCAGCAGGGATGGTTGCAGAGAGGGGGTGTCTGGAGAGCAGGGCAGTTCCGAAACGGGGTGCCTCACCCTTGCTCTTCTGATGCAGGGCTGTATCCTTCTCAGTGTGTGTGTGTTGTGGGGGGGTCCTCTGCCTTGCAGGACATGTAGCCACGTCCCTGACCTCCTCCTACCTGGTGTCAGTAGCATCCACACCCACACCCATCACGAAAACCACCAAGGCCTCCAGGCTGGCAAAATGTCCCATGGAGACAAAGTTGCCCCAAATCTAGAATCACTGTTTGAAACAACCCTGGACACGTCGTGCTGTGTTGCTGCTTCCTGCAGAAGCCAGAGCTTTGTTCTCAGCCTTGTAGCTTTGAGAGAAGGATTTTCTTTTTCTTTTTTTTTCAAGACAGGGTCTCACTCTGTTGTCCAGGCTGGAGTGTAGTCGTTCCATCTCAGCTCACCGTAGCCTCGACCTCCCGGGCTCAAGCAATCCTCCCACCTCAGCCTCCTGAGAAACTAGGATACAGGCACACCCCACTGTGCCCAGCTAATGTTTTAATTTTTTATTTGTAGAGATGGGGTTTTGCCAGAGAGAGGCATTTTCTGCTTCATAAAGAAGGTGGACCATTCATCTGGTTCTGGTGAATGAGCTGTAATTCACCAGGGATCCTTCTGGTACCCAGCAGCCCGACTTATTGCTTGGCTGAGTGCAGGGCTGAGAAGCCGAAGGACACAAAGCTGTCATCAACGGGATTTGGATCAGATGTCTAAGTGTGAACTCTCCAAGCCTCATGTGTTGTTGCCATGGTAGTTCTACTCAAGACACCTTGCTGGACAGAAAAGAGGAGCGCTTGTTCTGGAGGGAACCTGAATCCTTGTGCCAGTTCCCCAAGGCCAGCTGCTCGTGCGTGCAGATGCCGCTTCTGAGTAGAGGAGAAAGTTGATGGTTGAATGTTCACCAAGGCAGGCAGGTGGTTTTAAGAGAAAATCTTATCAAGGCAGATCAGCCCTTGTCTTTACAATCAACATATTTAATTTTAGTGGCAAATTTATCCTAATTACATTAATAATGGGCCCCTTTACTCTTGCAGGATATAAATTGGACAACAGTATTTAGTTCATAGGGCTGTGATGGGAATTTAATGAGATTATGTGGGTTATATCTATCTACATTGACTGAGAAATTATTTTCTCAGAAATTAAAACAGGATAATTTATTAATATATTTAAAACCAATAATTATAAGCCTGCTGCATGTAAACAGTGATAATATCTATTTTTTATGGAAAATAATTATATCTTTTGAAACGAAAACAATTAGTGATGAGTGACTATTACGTTTTTATGATGTCTAGCTTAACAGGAGACAGCTGGATTCTTACAGCTGCCCCTGCCTTTAGTCTGCCATGATATCTGTTCTGGCTGAAGTATATGGAGAAAATTCACCCCCACATAGATGAGTAGTTGGAAAAGGGAGAGTTAATAACCTTTTCCTATGATTGTGGATGTTTTCCTTATCTGTACCAAAACTAGACAAGTGATAGTTTCTTAATGATTAATTGCAACATGAAATCTGAAACCACAGTAACAAACTTTTAACTTTTTTATGTGAAAATTTGTTTGTCATTCTTACTCTTTGAATTCATCTTGTCCCCCTGCAATTATATCATTTATAACATCAAGCATTTGTCATTTAGAAAACTCCACCGAATTGTGCAGATCTTCCAAATATTGACATATATCATGAATTTTATCGTTAAAAAATCACATTCCCTAATATCCCCATTGATTTTATCAGAAAACACTTTAAGTATCTGAAATCTGTTGAGTGTGCAGAGGCAGATATACATTTCCCGAAATTCAGATTTTCACTCTAGACCTCGAATTGTGTTCTTGGCAAGAGACGGTGTCAGTTGTGCTCCTTGAGGCAATGGCTCCCTCCATTCATTTCTGAGAAAATACCAGCCATAAACTCAAGTCTGGATTCCCTTAGTTTGTCCGCTATCTTTCTTCAAAGTAAAAACCGTCCTATTGGCCAGGCCTGGTGGCTCATACCTGTAATCTCAGCACTTTGGGAGGCTGAGGCGGGCGGATCCCCTGAGGTCAGGAGTTCAAGACCAGCCTGGCCAACATGGTGAAATCCCATCTCTACAAAAATACAAAAATTAGGCAGGCATGATGGCGGGTGCCTGTAATCTCAGCTACTTGGGAGGCTGAGGCAGGAGAATCACTTGAACCTGGGAGGTGGAGCTTTCAGTGACCCGAGATCACACCTCTACACTCTAGCCTGGGCAACAGAGCAAGACTCTGTCTCAGAAAAAAAAAAAAAAAAAAAAAAAAAAAAACACCAAAAAACCCAAACCGTCCCGTGAGTAAAGTTTTCTCTGAGATGACCGCAAACTTCCATCTGTAGCAGACAGGCTCTCTGTGTCCTTCCAGTTTGTGCATTGAACATGCATTGAAAAACATGCATTGAAGAGTTGAGGCTTTATACAATTCACAATTTATGCGGCTTCTTCAGGGACAGTCTTTAACGGAAGTGGCATTTCTTTTGCAGGTAAGTCTGTGGGGGCCAAAAGGACAATGATCACTGCTGCAGGTCAGTGCCATGCTTCGTATCATGCTAAAGAATGAGCAGTTCTTCCTGTCATTTCTTTGGAACCATTAGTACAAATATCAACACAATAAGAAGGATAAATAACATCTTAATATTCTGATGAGAATAGTTTTGGTCTTGTGGACTCACAGGTCTCCTCCAGGGACTCTCAGGTGTCTGCAGCCCACACTATGAGAACCGACGGATTAGGGGAACAAAGAAGGAGGCAAAGAAAGAATTCTGGGTGTGTTTGGGAGCCCGTAGGACTTGCTGATGAACGGGAAAGTGAGAGCAAGAGATGATATATTTATGGGCCATTTTCATCTAATTAAAATAACATATGACTCTAATTCTCTTCCAGGTCTGTACATCTTCAGAGTAGAAACCTCTGAGCTGTGAGCTTTCAGTAGAGCCCTACCTCCAAGTGCGTGGAAGCTAACTTCAAACTCTCTGTGAAGAAACCCATTGTTAAGGATTTTAGGTGAAATCTTCTCATTGTCTTTCATTTAAGCTGTGTTTGATTAGACCATCCTCGTCTCTGGGCAACACATTAGATTCCTGCACCACCACCTGGTCTCATAATAGCTGGTTGCTATAAAACCATGCAGCTGCATAGGCCTGGGGTCCTTTCAAGGTTCTGTAGCCGAGTGCTGGTGCTCTCGATTGCTGGAGAACTTGAGTGCAGTTAAACTATGCTGGTTGCATTTATAGTAAAAATCAACAAGGAAAACTAATTACACTAAACCTATGCAGCGTCTCATTTATTGTTCTGCTTATTTTGTTTATAATGTTCTCTTTTAAAAAATCCTTGTTTTTAGCTGGAAAGCAGTAGGATTTGGCAGAAACAAGGAGCCTTCCAGCTTCTGACAAGGTTCTCTGCTTCCCCTCCTGCTCTCGCAGGCATTGCTCAGTGATCACTGGAGTGTCTACATCAGTCCCAGCCTTGGCTCAACATTGCAGAGGAGAGCCCTGTCCAGTGAAACTCCAGCTGTGCAAAAGTCATCCACAGAGGGCTACATGTGGAAGCCAATGAACCATCTGGGAAGTTTTTACAATAAAACAGACCATAGACGTTGGTAGCTTGGCCCAGGGTAGGCCACGGTGAAATCTGGTCCATGAGGGACCTAGAGACACTGAAATCATCCCAAGGTGAGTTGTTAAGATTGTAAATCCAAGTTAAACGCACCTGAAGTAAAGAATATATAAAATAAAAGTAAGCCTTCTGAGTCTAGTTATTGACTAACTTTAATTACTTACACAAAAGGCAACAATTGCTGAGGTACTTCATTGTCTATGAGCTAAATGTGCCAAAAAAGAGATGCTTAACAGATGGCGATGTTAAGAAATTCCTGGTTTTAAATCTGTACAGATGCATTAGGTTGGAACAAACACCACATTTTTCTGACCCTTCCAAGCTCTACACATCATAAAATGCCAGCTGATACTCAGGTACTAATTACAAAAACAGTGCCATATATGAAAAAACAAAGTGTGTGCAAAAAGCAGTCTTTTCTAGTTTCCCAGGAATCTCGATGTTCTTCAAAAATCTATCACCTTAACTTTACAACATGTGAAATATGGATAATATGTTTTTGTGGGACTTTTTATCCTAGAAAAATCCTTCACCTTGTTGGTGCCATTGTGTGTAAGGTTAGATTCTTTAGCTTAATATTCATGTCTGTTAATCCACCAGCATTAGCAGAAACTCTGAGTACTATGAACTATCACTGCAGATACCCAGTTCTGATGAACCGCCTCTGCGGAATGTTTCTAGTTGGCCTATCATAATTGGTGTGGGTAAAGGTAGCCAGTATACAAAAATTAGAGAGGAATTCAAGTATTATATAGAAGTTAACCATCAATTATACCTATAACTGGAGAACGGTAACTGTGTACATATAAAAGTCCAGGAGATGATCACCATTTATCCTGCCTGGGTACAGAGAGCATTTCTGGAAATCATTATCTTGAAGGCACGAGATGGTAATAAATTACCTCTAGTAGTATGGAAACCATTGCAGTGTTAAAAAGACTACAAGACTTGGTCTCATGCACTAACCTGATTGATATAAACATGATGGCCCTCTTCTTATGGTAAGAGACAAATGTATTTCAAACTTCTTGATAATGGAGTATAAGTCAAAATTGTTCTTAGTTCATCTAATGCCATTACAAACTTGGCCATCACAGATTCTTTCTCAACTATCTACAAAACATGAATTTTTATGTAGCATTTTGTCTGACATGGAATTAAATTATTTTCAGTTGAATTGGAGAAATTTTTAAAAAAACCATTATGCAATCATGATCAAACTTCCTTAGCCACAAACAATCAAGCTGAATGAGAACTTGAAGAATAACCTGGAATAGATAGTTCTAGAAAACAATAATACTAATATTAATACAATAATAACAATATTAATAATTAACATTGTTGTTATAAAAATTACAAACAGATTTTTCATTGCTTAATATGTCATTTCATGGTCAATATTAAAATCCAGTTTTGTTGGTCTATTAATGAGATAATGTTCCATTAATGAGGTAATATTCTGCTAGGGTTTGAGTTTGTCCTACCAAAACTCATGTTGATATGCATCCCCAGTGTGGGATAGCGTTGGAGGTGGGGCCCAGTGGAAGGTGTTTGGGTCATGGGGGTGGATCCCTCATGAATGGCTTGGTGCTATTCTCTTGGTAGCAATTTCTGGTGAGGTTGATTAGTTGTAGTAGGAATGGATTAGTTCCCATGAAAGCAGGTTGTTATAAGGCCAGTATACCCTTGGGATCTGTCTCTACATGTATCTGGCTCCTCTCTGACCTTCTCTGCCTTGTAGGATTGTGTTAGTCTGTTCTCACACTGCTAATAAAGACATACCTGAGACTGGGTAATTTATAAAGGAAAGAGGTTTAATGAACTCACAGTTCCACGTGGTTGGGGAGGCCTCACTATCATGGTGGAAGGCAAAGGAAAGGCAAAGGCACGTTTTACATGGTGGCAGCAACAGCGCATGTGCAGGGGAACTCCTTTATATAAAATCATCAGATCTCATGAGACTTATTCACTATCATGAGAACAGTGAGGGAGAAACCACCCCCACGACTCAATTATCTCCACCTGGACCTGCCCTTGACACGTTGGGATTATTACAATTCAAGGTGAGATTTTTTATTTTTATGTTGGTTTTGTCATTTCATTTTTTTTTAAATTCCAGAGGTTTTTGGGGAACAGGTGGTATTTGGTTACATGAGTAAGTTCTTTGAGTAGTGATTTGTGAGATTTTGGTGTACCTATCACCCAAGCAGTACACACTGAACCTAATTTGTAGTCTTTTATCCTCTGCCCCCTTTCTACCTTTTCCCCTTTGAGTCTCCAAAGTCCATCGTGTCGTTCTGATACCTTTGTATCCTCTTAGCTCCTACTTATGATAACATATATATTTGGTTTTCCATTCCTGAGTTACTTCACGTAGAATAATGGTTTCCAGTCCCATCCAGGTTGCTGCAAATGCCATGTCATTAATTTATTCATTTTTATGGCTGAGTAGTATTCTATCATATGTATATATACCCCAGTTTCTTTATCCATTCATTGACTGATGGGCATCTGGGCTGGATCCACATTTTTGCAATTGCAAATGGTGCTGCTATAAACATGTGTTTGCAAGTATCTTTTTCACATAATGACTCATTTTCCTCCGGGTAGATACCCAGTAGTGGGATTGCTGGATCAAATAGTAGTTCTTCTTTTTGGCCGGGTGCCATGGCTCACACCTGTAGTCCCAGCACTTTGGGAGGCTGAGGCAGGCAGATCACTTGAAGTCAGGAGTTCAAGACCAGCCTGGCCAACATGGTGAAACCTGTCTCTACCAAAAATACAAAAATTAGCCAGGCATGGTGGTGTATGCCTGTAGTCCCAGCTACTTGGGGGGCTGAGATAGGAGAATCACTTGAACCTGGGAGGTGGAGGCTGCAGTGAGCTGAGATGGTGCCATTACACTCCAGCCTGGGCAACAGAGCGAGACTCTGTCTCAAACAAAACAAAACAAAACACAAATAGTAGTTCTACTTTAAGTTCTTTGAGGAATCTCTACACTGTTTTCCATAGTGACTGTACTAGTTTACATTCCCACCAGCAGTGTAGAAGTGCCAAAACCCCTCTTTTCTTTGTAAATTACCTAGCCTCAGGTATTGCTTTATAGCAGCACAAAATGGACTAAGAAAATTGTCTTGTAGAGACAACTTGGCATATAGTCAGGAGTCATTTAACAACAGGCATAGTCCTGAGAAATGCATTGTTGTGTGATCTCATCTTTCTGCAAACACCATAGAGTATACTCACACAAGCCTACATGATACAGCCTACTGCACATCCAGGCTATATGGTCTAGTCAATCACTCCTAGGCCACAAACAGCATGTCACTACACTGAACACTGTAGGCACTTGTAACACAATGGTAAATATTGGTGTATCTAAACATAGAAAAGGTACAGTAAAAATATGGTGTAAGAGATAAAAAATGATACAGCTGTCTTGGGCATTTACCATGAATGAAGCTTGCAGGACTGGAAGTTGCTCTGGGTGGGTCAGTAGGTAAGGAGTGAGTGAATGTGAAGGCCTAGGACTTTATCATACATTACGGTTGCCTTTAAAAACACTGTACACTCAGGCTGCACTAAATGTATTTAAAACAGCTTTTTTCTTCAATAATAAATGCACCTCATTTTTCTATACTTTATAGATTTTTTAATTTAAAAAACATTTGGCTCTTTTATAATAACGTCACTTAAAACACAAACATACGGCTGTGAAAATATATTTTCTTTATATTTTTATCCTATAAGCTTTTTACTATTTTTAATATATATATATTTTTACTTTTAATCTGTTTTGTTGAAAGCTAAGACGAATACACACATCAGCCTAGACCTACATAGGTCAGGATCATCAGTGTCACCGTCTTCTACCTCCACATCTTGTCCCACAGGAAGCTCTTCAGGGGCCATAACACACGTGGAGCTATCGTGACAACGTCTTCTCCAGACACCTCCTGACGGACCTGCAGGAGGAGCTTCTTAAGGAGGTATCACTCTTCAGAAATATGTCCATGGCAAACCAATGTATGTTTGCCTTCCCTTGCCTTGCCTTGCCTTGCCCTGCCCTGCCCTGCTCTGCCTTGCCTTGCTTTGCCTTGCCTTTGAGATGGAGTCTCTCTCTGTCACCCAGACTAGAGTGCAATGGCATGGGCTTGGTTCACTGCAACCTCCGCCTCCCGGGTTCAACCAATTCTCCTGCCTCAGCCTCCTGAGTAGCTGGGATTACAGGCATGTGCCACCATGCTGGCTAATTTTGTATTTTTAATAGAGAAGGGGTTTCGCCATGTTGGCCAAGCTGGTCTTGAACTCTTGACCTCAGGTGATCCACCTGCCTCGGCCTCCTGAAGTGCTGGGATTACAAGCATGAGCTGCAGTGCCCAGCCTGTGTCTTTATCATAGATTTGCATGTGCGATACATTGCACTATGATGGTATAATAGCTACGATGTCACCAGGCCATAGGTTTTCAGCTCTATTGTAATCTTATGGGACCACTGTTGTATTCGTGGTCCATCATTGACCAAAGAGTCTTTATGGGGAGCATGACAATTTTGTTTTTAAGTTACTATGCATTAGATAGTGGGTCTTTTTGACTCCTGTATAAATTCTTAGGAGGAAAGACTCCTAAATATGTATGATTGCATTGTTGTCCTTCAGCACTCAGCAAAATGCTCATGATCATGGGAAAATGACAACTTTTTGCCACTCCATTTCCTTATTTGAAAGAGGAAGAAGTCAAATCGGTGCTCACTCAGCACCCCCAGCCCATGTCTAAAGCTGGAGAGAGTGTGATTCTGCCATGTACTTGTTAGTTGCTTATCTGATTAATCAGGTTGAGGGAAAACATGTGGTAATTACACATTCAATTAGCAACATTAATGTTCTCTGTCTCCAATCTCCTTGAAATTCTTCGCTATTTTTAAAATTTGGAAGATGTCATTGTTCTTTTAGAATTACAATTCTCTACTTGATGACTTCTCACAAACATTGACTGAAAGAGGTCTTAGAAACTGTGCTAGTTTTTTAAATCCCTCTGCAAAAGTGCAGCTTCTCTGCTGACTTTAATTCATTAATGTAATTATAGTTCAGTAAAGCACAGTGGCTGGGTGATACTGATGCACTTCTGTTCCGACTTCCGCTGCCATGCTCCTCTGGACCCTACTCAATCTGCCCACTTTTATCACAGGCTTGCTTTTTCCAAACAATGATGTAGAGTAGTCGGTATAATCAATCACATACAATGGATTACAGAATTACATACCATAAAATAGGTAATACTTTAATAAATTACCACAATAGATAATTCGGTATGTAAATAATATGCAATAGAATAGCAGCATTCAATAGCACCTGCAATCATACAGTGCATTCTGAATTATCTCAGATGCTAAGATTAAAAGTGGCTCTGGCAAGTTAAAAATCTAGTAGCATAACAATTGGAGTCGTCAGTAAGGGGCCCCTCAAATGCCTGATTTGGGGAGGTGGTGGTTGAAACTCCCATACAAAATTGGAATCCTGTTGTTTATCATTGCATCATGAGTCTACTTTGTGGACTCCCTAGGAGTTTTAAATAAAACTCAAATTCCCTGGAGAGAAGTCTTACTTTCTGTGTCTACTGACTAATCCTAAATTGTCAGGGGTTAGGCTCTTGGGTAGTTGACAGCTGGGAGCAAGAACCTGGGAATGGCAATCAAGGGCCTGCTTTTCCTCGCACCCCAGATCCCACACTCACCGAGGCCTGTGCAATGCGGTAAAGAGGGAAGGAGGCAGAAGGGGAGGCCTGCTGAGGGTGGCTGCAGGAGCGTCTGCACCTGACACCTGGCTGGAACGTGGCGCGCGCTTTCCCATTGACACTGTAACATCAACGGTGGTTAATTCTGCAGTACAATTAGAATGAGAGGCCCACTCCTATATTAGTTAGGTAGGGCTTAGTCAGGTGGGTTTTTACAGAAATAGTATTATCAGCAGTAGTCTGGCCTTAATAGAGAACAGGTGGAAAACTCCCCAGTACCCCTTCCTCCATTATTTGATATTATCTTAAGTCAGAAGAGCACTAGAGGCTACATCTGAAAAATGTTTCCTCCACTGTGTTCATTGCAGCTAGTGTGGGTTTGTGGCGGCATCTCTGCTTTGAGCCAATTCCAGTCATCTGTGAACAAATGTATAAATCTAACAAGGTTTATAAAAGGTAGGATTCCCAGATCTGCCACAGACTCTGAGTTTATTCTTTTTGGGTTATGAGAGGAAGACACAAGACTCCTGGCCTAAGCAGGGCCCCTCCTCCTCCCCGGTGCTAAGTGGATTTCCACGGCATGGGCTCCCACAAACATGGAAAAGGCTTACGAAAGCTACTGTGTCTCCAGAGCCTAAGTGACCAGGACTGTCTCTTGTTTGGTGCCTGTGAGGGACATGGTGCAGAGTTCCCAGTCCCCATGGCGTTGAGAATTCATTGTCAGAATATCTTATTTAATAATTTCTGAAAATTTTGCCATTGAAATGGTCTCTGCTCACCCCTGGGTTCTCCTAGGCCACCCTAGAAATGCAGAACCCACACTGAGAGGGTGACTGGGTCCTGGCAGGTGTAGCGAGAAGGGAATATTGATGACTCTGTTTCCAGAAAAAAGACATTGCAAAATCCAAACAGTCACCTTTTCAGCTTAAACACAACAACAAAAGCTCTTTCCATTTTTGGAGGCTGCCTATGTATCTAGTTGTGAATTTACAGAAACTCTTAGATGCTTCCATTCCTTTTTACTGTCAAGATACTCATAGGAAGGAAATGAGAAAAAAGTTAAACTTTTAGGTGTATGCATTGCCTCAAAGGCTTCTGCATGAACCCCACTGATGGCTGTAGACACAGGTCTTCACCCGTGTTGAGTGGACTACACAGTCCTACCCCGCATCTATTGGACTGCACAGTCCTACCCCGCATCTATTGGACTGCACAGTCCTAATGCTCCTGAGCTACAAGACTGTTTGTTTGTTTCTTATCAAAAAAGAAACAAATATTTTGATGATTTAGTGTTACCAGAGAATTCTTCTACTCAGTGTCAGGTTTCAATAAGGCCCTCAGGATTCACGTGTTTATTATTTCTTGTTTTAGTCACTTAAGAACACTCAAAAGGTTGGAGACACATAGCAACTTGAATTTTCCTAAGTGTTGAGATGCTCTCTGCTGGGAGTGTGCACAGAGCAGGTCCCTGAGCTAATGACGGAGCCTTGCCGATCCCTCGACACCTGTACCCCAGTGCCTGTCTGCTCTCAGATCAACTGTTCATGTTTATGAATCGGGGAATTCAAGTCTTAAAGGGAACCCCTGGACACTGGAAGGCAAGAATCGAATACAGATACTTCTTAATTAGAAAGAATTTGAGGGTTTTAGCTTCATCATTTAACACATTGAAGCCAAGAATCCTGACATTTCTGAGTTTTGCCAGCGTTACATCTGCAGTCAATCATAATTTTTGAAAGCTCTGTGGCATTAAAAAGATGATACCAGGGCTTGTCATGGGGTTGGGGGGATGGGGTAGGGATGGCATTAGGAGAAATACCTAATGTAAATGACGAGTTAATGGGTGCAGGAAACCGACACAGCACATGTATACATATGTAACAAAGCTGCAAGTTGTGCACATGTACCCTAGAACTTAAAGTATAATTTAAAAAAAAAAAAGATGATACCTCGACATATTTCTTAATCTGCATGCTCCCCAGACTCATGGCTTATTTCCCATTCAGATAAGAAATTGTTATGTTAATTGAGCTGCTCTATGCTGAGAATGGTGCAGGGTTATGACTTAGTCACTTTTTCATTTTAACTACTTGAGGCTTAAACCTTAACCATGGCAATGACTGTCTTGCCTCTTCCCAGAGGCAATCTGGGCAGCTTCACGTCTCCCACATGATGAGAACCAGGGACACTGGTCAACACCCAGACTGTCGTCTGGCAAGAACAGAGTTTGTCTCCCCGTTCAGTGCTGCCCGGGACCCCGGCACCAGGACTCCCTACCCCTCCGTGGGAGAGGCTCAGGCCAGTACACCTTCACGCCAGGAACATCTGAAACAGAGGCTATCCCACTTTTCCAACCTGAATTTTAGTAATTTCTGTAAGTTCATTGTTGAAGTCGATTGCATTTGCAGCTTCTAGTGTCATTCTTTGGTATTGCTTACTTGATATCCCTTAGAATAATTAGCTGTTGGCCTGCGATTATGTCAAGTTTGTAATATGTTTGTTGAAACAGTCACTTGCTGCTCAATAGTTTGGCCAGTTTTATGATTGACTGGATCATAGTTTGAGGCAATAGTAAGAAATCATAAGTTCTTGTTTGAAAAAGTTAAAAACATGTTCTAGGAATAATTGTTATTATTGAAAATCAAATAATTACTTTCTACCTAAAGCATGGGTGCATTTTTCAGTACGTAATCCATTGTCTCTTCTCTCTTTAAACGGCTGGTGAGAAGTTGCCCTCAGATAATAGTGAGTAATATATTACAAGCACCAATGCAGAAGTTTCTTTTACGATGTTAGGTCTTTTGGGAAGTTGAGTCTTTCTGGAAAGGATTTATATCATGTGACTTTGTAGCAGGAGAAAGTTAACGTGACCTCAAAACCCCTGGGCATGCACCAGCTCTGTGCAGCTGCCCCTGTGCAGGGTACATGTGTCCAGCCTGCGATTATTACTTCTCTGCTTTCTCAACCACTTTTTTTTTTACATTTTAATTCTTTAATTCTTGTGGGTACACAGTAGGTGTATGCACTTATGGGGTACTTGAGATTTTTTGATACAGGCATGCAACATGTAATAATCACCTCCCAGAGAATGGGGTATCCATTCTCTAAGCAGTTATCCTTTGTGTTACAAACAATTCAATTATACTCTTTTAGTTATGTTTAAATGTACAATTAAATTAATATTGACTGGAGTTGACCACTCTTGTTAATTCTGTTACCAAGACAAGCAACTTGGATGTTAAAAGATAAATGGAAGCGATAGAATTCTACACTTCAGCCTTTGCTTAGCATTCAGCTAAGGAAAAATACCCAGAGAACCCTTATTTCCTGGTTCTAT